GCTGGGTCGCCGGTGCCAGATGCCACTCTCATCCAAGTCTATCGGTCGGGAGTGTCCCACGGCCCTTCGAGGGAGGCCAGTTATGAGTACCCTTGTCGTTGGACGGACTTCCGACTCCGTGCGCTGACAAGAGCGGCAAGGTTCGATGGTGAGAAGTGTCAGAAGCCCGACACTTCATCTCAGGAGCAGCCTAAATCCAAGACTGCCCCAACACCTCCCTCTAGTCAAAGGCCAACCATTGGTTGGCAACCAACGACAAAAAAGGAGAAGTCTGCCGAAATAATCTCCGAGGGCGATGTCTGAAGGGTGACAAGTGCCCTTATAAGCACATTGACCGTGAATCATGTCGAATGTGGGAAGAGAAGGGGCAGTGTCGGTTCGGCGAGTCCTGTAAGTTCAAGACAGCAAGCCTTCACCGCGAGCGGGGGCCAGCACCGGCGAGAAGCCATCTGCTGGCGGGCGTCAGCGTGATCAGTTGAAGGCCATTTCCAACGATGGGGACTCGGGTCAGCACGACGTCGACATCGCAGAGGAAGAGATCCAGCGAATCTGGGCCATGACCGAGCACGTCGAGGACATTGGGTCCAATCATCGGCCGAGCGGTCCACTCCTCACTTTACGGTTCCCCGACGACTCTCCTCCACTACGTGTGCTTCTAGACAGTGGCGCCGTGCGGAACTACATCACCGTAGAGGAGGTGGAGTCTCGGGGGTGGCATATACTTCCCGAAGTGGCGATGGCTCGGCTCGCCGACAACAGCAAAATCCAACTTCGAGGGAAAACTCAGGTGGTGGTGTCTATTGGTGGTGGTACGCTCGAGATGACCTTCTATATTCTTCCTCGGAGGAACGGTGGTTCTTCGACTTCCATCGGCATCTTAGGGGTTCGCTCGATGTGCGACCTGGGTGTCTCCTTACAGTTTGGCGAAGTGGCAGGAGAGCGGCAGGTCGTCGTTAAACAGGTTCCACGAGGCCAACCTTCATCAACTATGAGAGACGAGAGCCTCTCCTCCGGCAAAGCCACAACTCCTACCAACAACTGTGATTTTCCGGACAGCCGACAGGTACGAGTTCTCGGCGAGTCCTTGACGGTTACTTCCAGTTGCGATGACGACGAGGAGGCCCTCTATTGCGTTGCCACTGACGACTCACCAGCATTCCCCTCTGACGCGAACGGTGGTGATTGGTCAACCACCAGCTCATCCGGGGAGAAAAATCATCTCGGTCCCAACTGGCGGTCAGTCAGAGCGGCACCTGACTACTCGGTAAGGCTCCGCCGTTTGGAAGACGGTGAGGTACGAGACTGTGAGGAACAGACCCACGCAGTGGAGGTGACGTGGGCCCTTGCACGGGCTCCTCTAAGTCGACACGCTCAATCGACAGTGTTTGATTACTCTCGCGCGCTGTACACTCGTCTAAACGCCGAGCAGAAGGCCACCTTCGACAGCGAGATCGCCAAATTTAAAAGTCGTGGCTGGTGGGAAGAGGCCGGTGATCCGGAAGCTCACGATGACAGTGATATTGCCATTCCGGAGGCAATAGCCTTTCCGGTCGTACAAGGTAGCAAGACCAGGCCATGCGTCGACATGCGAAGGGCCAACAGCACCTTTCCATCGAGCTCATACGCTGGGAGATCGTGCAGTGTTATTCTATCGCAATTGCGTCTCGCCATTGCTCAAGTCACCAGCAAGGCCAGAGAAAAAAGGGAACTCCCCAAGCTGTCAATGGCGACACTGGATGCGGAGACTGCCTTCTATCGAGTCCGGCTATCGGGTATCACTGCCCAGGTACGGAGCCTTGGGCGCCACTACAAGGTGCGTCGACTCCTCTTTGGACATCGAGCTGGACCAGCAATTCTGGAAGAGGCAATATCGGGGCTACTCACCGCCGCGATGGCTGAGGTACAGCCTGAGCAGTCGTCCGATCGGAGGGTCCCAGTTTACTGCTGGGCCTATGTGGATGACGTCACCATTCTTGGAGAATGCTCGTCCGTGAAGCGCCTCTACTCTTCTATCACTTCCATTGGAGCAACGTGGGGGTTTACCTTCTCGGAGCGAACAACCCATTGGGTATTCTTCAATGCAGACGGTTCGTCCAACAAGTTCGACGATTTTCGCCACCTCGGAGTCCGTTTCATCTGCGCACAAGGAGAAAGTGGGTGCAGAATGTGCCTACAATGTCTTCCTGCCACCCTGGTCTCGCGGAAACTGTCGGCCGGTGATGTCGTGACCAAACGTGAGGCATTTCGGTGGGCTGGTGCAGGTTATGACGTTCTCGGGCTGCACCCGGAGTGTGCTTTAGCGGCCGATCTGGTAAGGAGAGTCTCTGGGAAGTGGTCGCCTACCTCCTGGGACGAGAGGGTCACTATCAGCGAAGAGGATGCCCAGACCATCAACATCGCTTGTTCTCGGTTAGCAGAACGCAAGGAGCCCTGTCAGCACGAGATCGCATTCTGTGGCGCCACGCTTACTATCACAACTGATGCTTCCCCTTACGGTATGGGCTTCTTCCTCTCCATCGGTATCGCATCTGGGGGGCAGGTCGCCCTATATGGGAAGGCCAAGTGCTGGCGGGGTAGTCAGGTCTCATGGCATCAGAACCGACAAGAAGCATACTGCCTCGGCCTTTCTTTCGTGTTCTGCGACCCCCTCATACCCTACTCCCATGGTCTCCGGGTCAAATTCCTAACTGACTCTCGCACTGCCCTCTCTTGGATGCGGGGTGGTGAGAGGGTGACGAGTCGCTCTATCGAGCGAATTGCGATTTCAAGATTGTGTGACGCGGTGGCTGACCTGAAAGAGGTGTGGGCGCGACGCTATGATGTTCATCCAGTCGTTGACCATCTCCCAGGGGAACACAACTCGCAGGCTGACTCGCTCAGCCGTCTGGCCTTCTCCTGGCACATTCCTCAAGGGGTGATCTTTGACGGTAGGATCAAGGGGACTAGAGGCGCATCAGTTACGCGCAAGTCCTCTTCACCATCTCAGGCTTA